TGCCATCACAGCTCACAGCAACCTCAAACTCTTGGGTGTCAGCAATTCTCTTGCCTCAGCCTCCCAAGTAGCTGAGACTACAGGTGCCTGCCCCAATTTTTGTATTTTTTTTTTTTTTTTTTTTTTTTGTTTGGGGCCAGGTTTGAACCCACCACCTCTGGTATATGAGGCCGGCACCCTACTCCCTGAGCCACAGGTGCCGCCCAATGAGGAACTGTATTAAAGGGGCGCAGCATCAGGAAGGTTGAGAATCACCGCAGAGTGAGGTCTGGAGGTCTTCCTTCTTATCCTCCAGGCCCAATGGGGTTGCTGCTGCTTCAGATGGTTTCCAACCCATCCCTGACCTAATTTATCTTCATCTTAGTGTGTATAAGGAAAGGGGAATCAAATCTGAATAATCAAGACCCCAGACACAGAGCTTCCTAAACAAGGACCCCTCCACTCACAGCCTACCTCCCCCGTCAGCCTCAAAAACACTAGCTCCCTTCTATTCCAAGAGCCTCTGGGGAAAGTATCTGAGACTCTAAGAATGTGAGAGGGATCAGGAGGAACTAGCAAAGTCCGATTCTTTGCCACCAGGACAGGTGGCAAAGGTGTCCAAGAGAGGGAAACCCATAGAGGATCAAAGTCTAGGAATGGGATTCCCAAAGTGGCAAGAGAAAGACAGGGCAGGACACGTGACTGCCTCAAAAGGCGTCTGACAAGGACACTGTGGAGGTGAAACTCGGCCTCCACGGCACACTCTCCCGGCCTGTCCAGAAGGCCCTCACCACCTGGTGCAGACCCCTGAAGTAGCTAGACCAGGGCCAACTTTGGCCAATCGCCTCACTGACAATGGAGGCGGCCAATCAACCCTGGCATACAGCCCTCTCCCCGCCCCGCGTGGGGCCCACAGCCAATCGGACTCTAGGCTGCTCCAGGAGCAGCTGATCCCCAGGTAACCCCCCAGCGAGCGCCGCGATCGTCCCGTGGTCTGCTCCCTCCTCACCTCCCGAGGACTACAGAGAAGAGCTGGCCTGAGCACTGCCTGAGCAACACCGCCGGCAGCCTTCGCCACCTTCAGCGCCATGACGGAAAGAGAACCACCTCACTCCCCTATGCGCTAGACACCACCCTCGCGAGAGTTCGTTGAGGCAAGCAGTCTCAAAGGGTGGCGTGGGCCTGGCTCTGCGCACGCGCGGCCGCGCCCATTCCCACGCCCTCTTCCACCGCCTGTCGCTTCGCCGCCGCCGCCATCTTGGTGGGGGTGACCAGCTGGACCCGGGTCTTGGGGAGGGGACACGTAAATGCAGCCAGCGACGTCACGAGGCCAGCCTGGACAGCGGGGCTAGCCGGCGCGCGATTGGCTGCCGCTGTGGCTTGCGCATCGTGCTTCCTCGTCTGCCCCTAGTGTTCACTGGAGCTCTTTCTCTTTTTCCCTCGGCCGAGAAAAGGCTACGGCGGCAATGGCATCACTCGGCGCCCTGGCGCTACTCCTGCTGTCCGGCCTCTCCTGCAGTTCAGGTAGCAGCCTGGCCAGAGCTTCTTGCTGGCTAGCCTCTGTCCCACGGAGGTAGTGCTGGGGGAAGGAGGGGTGCGGGTGAAGTGGGGATCTGTCTGGCCCTTCCTGGGCTCGTCGCCGTGGCCCGGGCCTTCCAACAAGAGACAAGTGATCTCCGGGCGCGGCGACTAAAGCACCACACACGCTTACCCGGTGGCTAGAAACAGCCAAATCTCATGCGAAGGAAAGTCCCGGAGTCTCCACCATCGCCCAGCCCCTAGCTCTGGCAGGGTGACTCAAGTCCATGCTCCTGCTCCCAGAGGGTCGGTCAGGAGCAAAGCTCTATGGCGCGATCGCGGCGGGGGCACCTGAGCTGGTGCTGTACGGGCCAGGCTTCCTCGGGAAGTGAGGCGTGGGAGCGGTGGAGAGCTAAAGCGGGGCGAATTACATAGGGACCTGAAGAGGCTGGGGGGGGGGGGCTTGAGGTTCAGGCCAAAGACTGTCTGCTTTTCCCGAGGCCTGGTTCTCTGCAAAGCCGAGCCACGACCCTGTCGCTTTACGTTCCTGAATGATCCTTAACACCTGGCAGGGGGGCTGCGCTCTCACTGGGGTCTAGAATATGTGAAGGACGATGTTGCCCCAGTCGGGGCGCTGTCTGGGGCCGGGACTAGGCAGGGCTGCTTTCTGCACGGTCGCTGTCTTGCCTTAACGTCATACCGGGGCCTTTGGTTCCTGGAGTGACCTTGTCACCCTCCCCTCACGAATTCCTTGTGCAGTTGCCAAAGACATCTCCAAAGAACAAACCTGGCTGTGAAACCCTTTAGGGACTCCACAGTATCCACAGGAAAAAAGCTCAACTCAGCAGGACACAGAAGGGCTGTGAGACCTAGGCCCTAAGAACTGACCCCCACTACCATTCCCAGGCATCTGCCTTCTGTCTAGACCCAGCACCTCCTCTGATTTCCTGAGCTTAAGCCATCCCTCTACCAGGGCATCACATTCAGAGAGCAGTTGCCCACTTGGGGTAGCATTTGCTTCGCACCCTTCCTTCTCTGTGGCCCTCTAATAGTTCTGGAGATGGCTAAACCAGGGTCCTTTCTGTCAGAGTTGTACAGTTTAAGGGGACAATTTGTGCCTCCAGATCCAGAGCCTCTCCCATTTACTTCCCTGAGGAAACACGGGAACCACTCTTGCCCTTCTGTCAGCTGGCTGGGGCCAGAGATCTTTTCCCTCATCTTGTAAGCTGCAAGCATTGCCTGTACCCCCCTGGCTGTCTCTGCTGAGGATGCCTTCACTGAACTGTCTGGGCTGAGTGTGGCCCCCAGGGCTTCGAGGGTTTTCCAGGGCCAAGGCAGGCTGTTATGTGGCCAACCCATCATAGGTGCAGGCACTAAAATGAGTGGTACATTTACTCATTCACAACAAACACACACATACTCGCTCCCTTCTTCATCATCTCAACTCAATGAAGTGCCACCTCCCCAAAGCCATCTCTGCCTTCCCTCATAGCCATCCCACTTTGCCACTGCATTTCTGACTGAGCACTCAGACCTGAATCCCATATCCTGTCTAGAAGAGAAAGAAGGGTCATGTGTGTCCTCAGCTGCCTAGGCTTGGGAAGTATGGCATTGCAGTCCCTTCTGCCTTTAGCTTAACACACTCAAGCTGAACTTACCCAGGTGTCTGTGCCTCCTCCCCACAGCAGAGGCCTGCATGGAGCCCCAGATCAGTCCTTCCTACTATACCACTTCTGACGCAGTCATTTCCACTGAAACTGTCTTCATTGTGGAGATCTCCCTGACGTGCAAGAACAGGGTCCAGGTAAGTCAGTGTGGGGGTCAGCCAGGAGGGTACAAGGGTGAAAGGTGGGTGTGGGGGTGTGAAGTGCTCTTCACTGGTAGTTCACTAGAGTCTAACCTGAGGCCTCAAGTTAACAGAGGGAGAATAAGGATTCCAGGGGTGTGGGAGAGATCAGGACATGACAAGGCCAGACACTGGCAAGTGTTTTATACATTATTTTCCTAACTGCTTTGTGTGCTTTGCCTATATGCATTAACATGGGGTGGATACTGTTTCCAGAATAAGTGTCTGGAACATGAGAAAGGGCCAAGGTCAGCCCCTAGGCCCCTCCATCCTTTTCTGGTTGCTGTTTGCCAATGCATCTGTTTGGGCTTTTTTTTTTTTAATTATAAAGAGGTAGATCGTGTATACATTAATGCATTTATGGGGTAAATGTGCTGATTTCATATACAATTTGGAATGCTTAGATTGTACTGGTTAATATATCCCTTCCCTCATTTACTTAATTATTGTGTTAACACATTTATACTCAATAGATCCAACATGTACCCTTGCAATATGCACCATAGGTGTGATCCCACCATCTGATCCCACCCCCCCCCCTTCATCTTTGGCCATAGTTGTGATCTATCTGTCACATGAAAATGTGAGTGGCCCCAGCGCCTATAGCTCAAGCGGCTAAGGCGCCAGCCACATACACTAGACCTGGCGGGCTCAAACCCAGCCCAGGCCTGCCAAACAACAATGACAACTACAACCAAAAAATAGCCAGGCTACTTGGGAGGCTGAGGCAAGAAAATTGCTTAAGCCTAGGAGTTGGAGGTTGCTGTGAGCTGTGATGCCACAGCACTCTACTCAGGATGCAGCTTGAGGCTCTGTCTCAAAAAAAAAAAGTGTGAGTGATTGTAAGTTGATTAGTACTGAGTACATTGGATACTTTCCCCTCCATTCTTTTTTTTTTTTTTT